TTTTATGATGATCAATTGATAATTCAATTTACCTTTTTTGTTTGTTATCTAATTTTAAAATTAATTTATTCCTTCAAATATATCCGTTAAATAATTCTGTAATCATCAACAATAAATATTATTAAATATTTAAAAGCTAATTGATTTTGTTTTACAGTGATTTTTATTGTTTTTGATTTAAATGTTGTTTTTATATTAAATTATAACCAGAATGTAAACTTCTAATTTAATTCTTATCTAAATTCCAGTTGTTTTTATGATATTTTATGACTCTTTAGATATTATATTTGAAAATATTTTTAATATTCTGTTATCTCTTCTTTAGAGGCTATTTTTCCATTCTTACTGTTTTAATTTTTATGATTGTAATGTTTATTAAAATACTAATTATGTATTGTAAACTGTAATTTATTAATAGTGATTTCTATTTTTCATAATTTGTTGGTAAAAAGAAACAAATTATTCTATAATGTATTTCACAACATACACAAAGATAATTAATTTTTTTATTTTTGACCTTGCCTTGTCTATCTTTAAAATCTTTAAAACTATCACTTTGTTTAAACATAATTTATTTACTTAAATTTGCTTTTATACTTATTCTAAAACAATGTTTCATTTTTTGTTTCATTTACCATAACATCCTCCCCTTTCTTAAAAGGTAATACTCTCTTAATGTTTACAATTTCTTTTTTATCACTTTCATTTACTATCTCCACAGAATTACTAAAAACATTTACTACTTCGTAAGGTCCCCTGAACTTTTCATCAAACTTTGATGGATTTTCAACTCTTATTAACACTAAGTCGCCTACATTAAATTCTATATCTATTCTTTTAGCATTTGTTCTTTCTTTATTCTTTAATGCTTGATTTTTAGCACTTTCTATAGCTTTTAATAACATCTCAGATTTTTCAGGTTGTTTAACTTTTAGATTAAATTTTTCTCTGTTAAAAATTAATTTCATGGGTGTCATACCAATTCCGCTATGATATGTTGATCTTAATAAATCACCTGTTAGAGCTAATATCTCATCTAAATCCTTACCTTTATTTATTCTAATAACATTTCCCAATACTGAATGAACTCTTTCACATATACTATTTGAAGTAGGGTTGTATGGGGTTATATATTTTACTTTAATACCTAATGCTTCACTCCTCTTTAAAAACTCTTTTGCAATAAAGGTTCTTCCATTGTCACATATCATCTTCCTAGGTAAAGGATACTTCTTAAACCAGTTTATAAATAAAACATTAAAAACTTCTTCTGCTTTCAAATTTTTAATCTTAAAAAATTCTACCCATCTTGTACACATATCAATAGCTGTTAAAATATAAAAATCTCTATTCTTTAAATTTACTGGGCCATAAATATCTATAACAATCGTATCAAAGGGAGCTTTATACACCAAATCACCTTTAATCTGACCATATTTTTTATTGGAGGATTTATTCTTACGACATTCTATACAATTCACAACTAATCTGTTTACAATACTTCTTAAATTAGATACATTATAGATAGCTTTGACACATTCATATAACTTTATAATTTCAGGATGAGCAAAAAACTCATGAAAATATCTTACCAT